AGGTGGAGTCTGAGAGGGGACAAAAATGGGGTGCAGGTGGCAGAGTGCAGGGGCGAGGTGTGGGAGGGGCGCAAGGGATGGGCTTGGGGTCTGGGAGGGGCAGGACCGATGGTGGGGTGCAGGGAGCCTGGGAGGGTATCTACGAAGAATACAGGGTCATGATCCACTAGGGGTGCAGGGGTGCCCTTGGAGTGGAGGGAGCATGATTCTTTAGTGGGTGACATCCCGGGTCTCCCAAACTGCTAAAGACCAATGGTGAGCCAAGCTTTGAGGGAACTGTGGTGTGACGCTCCCCCCCCCATCCCCCATCACAGGACTTGGGCACCGAGGACAGCGACTGACAAGCTTCCGCCCCCGGGCAACATCAGGCTGCCTTGAAAGAGGTGCCCAATCCCTTTCTGGGAGCGAGCTGGACAGAGGTCGCCTTAACGTGATGTGAACAGGAATGAGCTCTCACAGCGCTAGGGGCTAGGGCACTGTACCAGAAAATTGGACTGTGAAGGTTCCCAGGGAGCTTGCAGGTCCACCAGGGCTGCCCTGCCAATGTCCTATGGATGTGCTTCAGGTCCCCTCACCTGTGAGCACTGAGTGCCAAGCTGGGCACTATGCTGAAGACCTCTCTCGCCCGCCCAGTCATTTAACTTTCCGTGGACCCTGAGAGAATGGCTGTAGACATCCAGGTTTACCACTGGTGGGGAAACTGAGACCGAGAGACCCTAACACCCTACTTTTAAGGTCACTGTGGTGGAATAGGGAGAGAAGGTCTCCCTATAAAACTCAGATTGGCCTGGAATTCCATATCTAGCTAGCCTGCTTCAGGCTCCCAAGTATTAGTGTTCTTTTTTGTTTGTTTTTCAAGACAGTATTTCTCCAGTGTAGTCTTGGCTGTCTTGGAACCCACTCAATAGACCAGGCTGGCCTCAAAATCAGAGATCTGCCTGCCTCTGCCTCCTGAGTGCTGGGATTAAAGGCGTGCACCCCCACCTCCCCACTAAGTAAGAGTGTTCTTAAAGGTAGCCTACGGTGAGACATGGGCCTCTGATTCTGACGAATGTCTCTAGTCACTTGTTCCAGACTCTGATTCCAGGCCTCCTCATTTTCAGGATGGTCTGAACTGAGTGGGGTTCCTACATGGAACCACTAATCTTATTGGGTTTCCAGGCTGGGGTTTCCCAAGGATGGTGCATCAAGCCAGAGGTGACCCTGGAGGGTCCCACACATGTATACAAGCCCTGTGCTCTGGAGAAGGGGCACTTAGCTACAGTAGAGAAACACTGGGGGTAGGGGGCCAGGCTGAGGCTAGTGACAGGCAGCAGCAAGGATGGGAAAAGGCACTATTGTCGCTGGGCCAAGGGAATTAAGAGCTCCCAATTGGATATGGAGTGCCTGGACCATTGACTGCCATGAGCTGAATTCCCAGGCGGGGGCTGGAGCAGCCAGCTCTGTGTCCAGATTGCCTGCTGAGCCTAATCCCCTGGGAGCCAGGCCCAGGAGCCCAGACAAAGCTGCTGGGGAGACAGTCTGTCCTTGATGGGGTCCTGCAGCCTGGTCCTGGGTGCTGAGGAGGCCACCTGGAGGAGGGATGGGTGGGTGATGAGTAGTTAGTTACGCCTGAAGGAGTGTGCACAGCTGCTCTGGCTTGGGTGTGGTATGTATGTAGGACGCTTTAAAAATAGGCAGCCTAATATATCAGTGTGTGTGTGTGTGTGTGTGTGTGTGTGTGTGTGTGTGTACTTGAGGGCTGATCGAGCAGGGTGCTCAAGAGCAGCCCTTCAGAGGCGGCTGGAGGGGCTCTGCAAATTGTAATCAGATTAAGGGGACCAATCACTTAGGGCTCTTGAAAAGGCCACAAGGTCCCTAATCAGCCCTGAGCGCCCCAGCCTACAAAGCCCTGGAGGAACTCTGCAGGAGCCACCCTCTGGGGGGCCAAGGGGTGGGGGCTTCTTTCTTCCCAGTCTTTGGTAATTATGTCAATTTGCTAGCCAAATTGTTTGCTCAAGTGGACAGGGGGGCATGTGCCCCATTCATGTGGTAATGTGGGAACCAGCAGGATTCCTGGCTGGGAAAAATAGGAGGGACTGGGACCTTTCTCCAGGGAGCAGGCAGGGCAGGGATATGGGGTGTCTGGGCTTCTAGGGCCCCCTCACTTGTCTAGGGTTCTCCCCTCACATTCCTACTACTGACTGTGGAACCCAGGACCCACATTATAGAATCCACTGAACTACCTCTCCAGCCTTTCCTGCAGGGGCCTTTATTTAACACATTCCAGAAGCTTCCAGTCTAGATTGTCCTCTGGGAAGAACTGAACTGATGGGTGAAATTGACGATGGGAAGGAGACCATGGAGAGAGGATTGGACAGGCGAGGCATCCCTAGGAGACCTCCATGAAACTGGGCAGGCGGCGGCTGGCTGGCTCTCTTGCAGGGCAGGCTAAGGCTTGACCAATTTGTTGGAGACAGGGGAGCTGGGAGCTGGAGTTCTGAAGGATGAGTCCCACTTGGTGGGACTGATGGGGTCAGGCAGATTTAGAGGTGCATGGAGACTTGGAGAAAGTTCTTGCTGTTTTCTTGAGCCTT